ATAGGTTTTCCTGCTTCAGTTTTCTAAATATCTTTCATGTGAAAGGAAAGAGTAAAACCTTATCTGTGTGTCCTTAAAACATGCGTAGAGGAAATAATAAAAACAATTATACAATAAGCAAGGAGAGTAAACAGACATAAAGGAAGGTAAAATACCGTACTTCATTCAAACTGGTAAAATGAGCAACCCATAGAAACATTTCTAAAAAGAGATACATTAAAAAACATTATACACTAACAAAATAAAATCTAATAATGTTCAAACAACCTAAAGGAAGAGAAGAAAAAAATTAAAACCAGAACAAAGGGAAAAATGGCAGATAAAAGCCCTACTATCAATAATCAATTACATATATAATTATATATCAATAATTGCATTAAATGAAATGTTCAAAATTCATCAACTAAAAGAGTGGATTAAAAAGCATGATCCAATACAAATGACTCAAATAAAAAACACAAGAGGCACCATTTGGCATTCACCGAGATACTAAAATAAAAAGGAGTGAAGTTCCACTACAACGTGGAGGAACCTTAAAATATGATGGTAAGTAAAAGAAGCCAGACACAAAATACCATGCACTGGACAACTCCACTTATCTGAAACATGCAGAATGGATAGTGCTGTAGAAAGAGAAAGCCGGTTAAAGGGTGTCAGGGGTGAAGGGGAGGGAAATGGGGGTTTTGTTTATAACTACCCACACTGTCAATTACTAAACACCACTAAACTATATACTTCAAAATGATTACTTTTGTGTTACCTGAATTTAACCTTAAGATGCTATTTATACATTCAGTCATACTTTACACTGTTAAATTCCAAAATGAACTAAATCAAAGTAATTTTCAGCCAGGCGTGGTGACACACACCTGTAATTCCAGTGCTAGGGAGGCAGCGGCAGAAGAATCATGAGTTCAAGACTAGCATAGTGAGGGTCTGTCTCTCAAAAAAAAAGAAGAAGAAGTGATTTTTAAATCCAGTTTTGATTAGAGTGAGTAACAGGGAAGAGGAGAACTGCATACACAGAAGAGATATTTTTTACTAAGTGTAAACAGGGGAGGAAAGATTTATTGTGGCTCATGGTTTCAGAAGTGTCAGTCCATCATGGTGAGGAAGGCGTGACATAGCAAAGCCACTCACATCATGGTGAGAGGCCAGGTCAAGATACAGCCCCAGAGCACATGTCCTCGATGAGGTGACCCTTCTACCTTCCACCACCTCCCAATAATGCCATCATACTAAAGTACATCAAGGGGTTAAGCCCTGCACTAGGTCAGAGCACTCAGACCATTGTGTCTTCACTAATCTAGACAATGCTTCATCTAATCAGGTTGACAGTCAAGATTAACTATCACAATCCACCATTTGTCAACTTCACATCCAAACACATCTAAGCCATAATATTCCACCCAGGCCCTCAAATGGCTCATGTCCACTTCATAATGCAAAATGCATTCATACTGTCTCCATGAGTTCAAGTCCACCCTCACAGCCAACCCTCCCAACACCGTCCAAAGTCTCTTCTAAGACTCAAGTCAACTCGCAGCTGTGAGACCATGTAAAAATCAAAAAGCAACTTGCATACTTCTGATATTTAATGGCACAGGGCACGCGTTCCCCATTTCAAAAGGCAGGAATGGGGGCTCAAAAAGGAGGGTATAATATTAGGAATGAATTTCAGTAATATATAAAATAATACTGACCATGAGCAATTTGGGTTTATTCCAGGGATATAAGACCGACTTAATGTTTGTAAATCAACCAGTAAATCCACTGTATTACCAGTTTAAGAAAATCGCATTTGTATCAACTGACACAGAAAAAGCATTAAATGTAACACTCAAGAATAATAACAACACTAAGAAATGTAAGAATAGAGAGGCTTTAATTTGATAACGAGTTCTACAAAAACCTATAGCTTCAAGGTGAAGAATGAATGTTTTCTCCCTAAGACTGAACAGCCAGGATATCCTTCTTATCACTTTTCCACACAATGTTGCAAGTTCTAGTCAATGCAATAAGGCCAAAGGAAATAAAGGGAGAAATAAAAACTGCTGTTTTACAGATGACATAATTGTCAGCATACAAAATCTCAAGGAATCTATTTAAAAAAAACCCACACCCTAGAACTGACAAGTAAGTTCAGCAATGCTGCAGAATATAAATCAAACATACAAAAAAATCAATTGTATTTCTGTATTTGTATTTGCTCAAAACATGGAATTATTTATTGTTTATTCTGTACATAAAAGGCTAACATTAACCTGGATTCCCTTTGGATGCTGGCAGAACAGCACTGTAAGTGGCAGCAAAAAATTAGAAGCCAACAAAGAAGTCCACAGCATTTTGGGAAGCACAGAACTACTAGACCATCCATTTGGAGGCTTTACAACAGTCCTGTCTGCATCACTGCAGTTTTTCATTTTAAGGCAAGTTGAAAACCACACTGCATTACAGAAAAGGTGGCTGTGAGAACCTATGAGCAGGTTTTCAGATCAACTGACAATTCTAGCTGGTCTGAAGCTCTGCTGTTTTTTTCAAGTCAAACAACTCTGAAGTGAGACAATCAGTGTCTGTCTTGTTCTGGTCTAGGTCTGGTATGGTCTGTTCTGGTCTGGGTCTGGTCTGGGTCTGGTCTGGTCTGGGACTGGGTCTGGGTCTGGGACTGGGTCTGGGTCTGGTCTGTTCTGGGTCAGGGTCTGGGTCTGGATCTGGATCTGGTCTGAGTCTGGTCTGGTCTGGGTCTGGTCTGGTCTGGGTCAGGGTCTGGTCTGGGTCTGGTCTGTTCTGGGTCTGGTCTGGGTCTGGTCTGGTTTGGGTCTGGTCTGGGTCTGGTATGGTCTGGGTTTGGGTCTGGGTCTGGGTCTGGTCTGGTCTGGGTCTGGCCTGGGTCTGGTCTGGTCTGGGTCTGGCCTGGGTCTGGTCTGGGTCTGGTCTGGTGTGGGTCTGATGTGGGTCTGGTGTGGGTCTGGGTCTGGATCTGGTCTGAGTCTGATCTGGTCTGGGTCTGGTCTGGTCTGGGTCTGTTCTGGTCTGGTCTGGGTCTGGGTCTGGTCTGGGTCTGTTCTGGGTCTGTTCTGGCCTGGTCTGGTCTGAGTCTGTTCTGGGTCTGGGTCTGGGTCTGGGTCTGGGTCTGGTCTGGGTCTAGTCTGGTCTGGGTCTGGGTCTGGGTCTGGGTCTGGGTCTGGGTCTGGTCTGGTCTGGTCTGGGTCTGGGTCTGGTCTGGGTCTGGTCTGGTCTGGTCTGGGTCTGGTCTGGTCAGGTCTGGGTCTGATCTGGTCTGGTCTGGGTCAGGTCTGGTCTGGTCTGGTCTTGTTTTGTTTACATAATACTAGAGAATGAACTCAGAACCTTGTACTTATTAGGCAAATACTCTACCACTTGGGCTGCCTTTTTGTTTTGGAGACAGGGTCTCACTAAGGTTGCCCAAGTTGTGCTCAATTTTGTGATCCTCCTGAATCTCTTCTTGAGTAGCTGGGATTACAGGCATGCACCACCATGCCTGGCTCAGTGCCACTCTTAGTATTTTATCATTGGTACCAAAGCAAAATTTCTCATGTTCCTAATCTGACTTATTTTTAGGAATATAAAGTTACAGAAATTTGATAAAGAGTTATTTCTTAGGAAGCAAACCACTGGGAAGAAAAAAATCCCACAGTTATACTAAAATTTAAGATCTCCATACGTATTTAATACACAATTTTTTTTTAATTTAAAGCCTACACACCCAGTATTCTCAGGCAGTCTCCCATCCAAGTATTAACCAGGCCAGACCCTACTTAGCTTCTGAGCTGATGAGATCCATCTTGCTCAGGGTGGTATGGTTGCAGACTATATTTAATAGAAACAAAGTACTGATGCAGCATTTTAAATATTATTTTTATAAAGACCCTGGATCAGATTGTTTCTTTTCCTTCATTTATTTTTACCTCAACTCGCATTTCTGGAGAGGCCTGACCACACTAGCAAAGCCTGTGTCTGTCTCTATCCTTCCACTCACTCAAGTTCCCATTTCATTAGAGTGAAAACCACAGACCTTGCAACAACTGACAAGCCCCTTCTCTCCTTTTGTTATCTCTTCTCATTCCCTTCCAGGTCTGCAGCCCAGGGGTGAGTCAGGTTCACACACTGAAGTACATTCAGCTTCGGGCCTTTGCACTGGCCTGAAGCATGGACTTCTGGGTCACCATATGACTAAAGCCACTCACTCACTTCAGGTTTTGCAAACGTGTCACCTGGACTTAGCTACTTACAACGACAAAACTCCTGTTGCCTATCTGACTCATTCTGCTTCCTGTACTCCATTTTGAAGCACTTACACCACTACATGTACAGATTTACACACTTACTAGGTTTGTTGATTGACTGCCTTCCATCAGGCAAGGATGAGGATTTTTATCTGTTTATTTAGCAGGCACCTCAAAAGCCTGAAATAATACCTGGTACATAGCAGGTGGCTCCACAAATAATAGATCAATATTTACCAAATTTTAATTAATCTCAGAAACACACTGAAAAATAAATTCTGTTACAAAGAAAATAAAATGTCACAAACCTTGATGCCTATACACACGCCAGTACCCTGTCTGCTGTGTCCTCTTCTCCTTAGTCCTAACACCTGTTCTCCTGTCCTGTTCACAGGTATGACTTGATAGACAAATTTCAACTCAATTTCCAAAACTAAACTAAGTCTTCTAAAAAATCACCCTTCTTCTCTGCCAGTCAGGGCTGGGGGCTCCCCCTGAGTACTGCCCAGGTGCCTCTGTTAACTCTCCCCATAGCCTCTTCACTTTCGTGCAATGACTGCTGTGTGGACATCTGCTTCCCAGACCAAGTTATGAGTTCCTTGAGAGCAGAATCCATTTTTATTTGCCTTTCCCTCACTGGCACATAACTCACAACACTAGTACAGACGGGCACTCAATATACATTTTGTGTGTGAATAAACCATTTTTGAAAAATCTACTAAACTAGATTAACAATGAGTCACAGAAGTTTACCTGCTACTTGTTTCCTTAGTTTTTCAATTTCTTCTTTCAGGTTTTTTATCTCTAAATCTTTGCTTGCTGTTAGTGGACCATCAACAGTTGAATGCTGCAAGGTTTGAACAGTCTGTGTTGACTCTTTTAAAAAAAGGATAAAAGAATGAAAAATACTGAAATAATTTAAATTTCTAAAATTAATGCTTATGTATTTCTTTGTACAACAATCTTTATATAGTTCTATAAACCAAAACATCTACAGATTGGCAGAAAGCACATGAAGAAATACAAGTGTTTACTATTTGTGATGTGAGGTGTTTGGTTTTAAGCATGTTGGTGAACAAGCTACTTAGTCACTCTTTGTGCTAGTGGAGCCATCACCATTTGGTAACTCAGCAAGGTTGCATGTCAGACAGCATTTAAAGAAGTGAATCGGGTGTACGAAGGAGGCAGATGTGCCACATGAGACGCACAAGTGCAAGCCCTCCAGATTTTACCTAGAAAAGCTGAGGTCCGTCTATTGATGGCTTTGGCTCATCTATCTCATGAAAACATTATTACAGTCACTGCAGAAGTACCATACAGTACCCTGTCTTCACTAGATTCAGACCTAGTTAGAAACTGGTAGGGTCCCTTTCTCTCTCATGCCATAAACTACAGTCAATGTATTCTTTCCTTCAGCTACCAGCCCCTAATGAAAACTGTAATCCAGCCTTGTCCAAGCTGAATTTCCTGACTGGATAGAATGAGAAACCTTTTTCTAAGGCAAAAAATAATATAAACTTAGTTCTCCATTTTTTTTCATGACATCTGCCATATAAACGTTACAGGACATTTGAGACAGCAGGAAAACATGACTGATAATCAAAAGAAAAAATAAACAGAAATAGAGGCAGACCCACAGAAGATACAGGAGCTGGGAAATTAGCAAACAACTTTGAACCAAAGAAAACCAAGAACAGAAGGAATGGGACAGTGCATAAAGGAAATGTGCACAAACATGCAACCGAAGTCTCAGAAGGAGAGGAGAGGGTGAGTGGAGCAAAGGCCACATCTGTGGAAATTATGGCTTGGAATTTTCCAAAATTTATATCAAGAATGTGGAAACTCAGTGATTTCCAAATAGGATTACATATTAACTAAAAGAAAGGATTACTCAGGCATTCCGTGGTCAGAATAATTGAAACTGAAGTTAAGGGTAAGATTTTAATGGCAGTCACAGGAGGGGCCGAGAGCGAGGGTAAATTACATCCCAGAGATGAAGATCAGCAGCTAGCCTGTTAGGAAATGCAACAAAATTACAGGACAGTAGAACAGTAGCTAGAGTAGAAAAAAAAAAAAAAAAAGCTGCCAAACTGGAATTATAACCCAACAAAAATGTCTTTCAAAAATGAAGGCAATAAGCAAAAATCTTAAAGAACTTATCACTATACACCCATAAGAAATACAAAAGAAAGTTTTTCAGATTAAAGAAAAATGATTCCAGATAGAAACATGGATCACTACGAAGAATTAAAAAGCATCAAAAGGGTAAATATGTGGACAAAGAAAAGTATTTAAAAATTCATGAGTTAAAAATAAGTAAAGCAAAATAAATGTATGGCCATATAATTTCATTCAGATGAAGCTCCAAGAAGGGAAAGAAATTAGGATGTAGAAAGGGGAGTAAGAGGATGTTATTCTATGCTGGAAATACTCTGTATATTGATATAGGTAGAGGTTACGGGAGTGCACACACATATAAACACTCACTGTTCATACACACAGAAGTGGAGTGCTTGCACCTGCTCCTACATGGATGTCACCAGTCTCAAAACAAGCACTAAACACCTGAGTCACAATGGGGACGGATTCTAGCAACTTACTGAGAACAGAAAAGCCTACTGGTGTCTATCGAGTAATAGCAAGGCAATTATATACAGCTTTAGGACACTGAAATGAAATTGGTTATTAATATGAGTGGGATGGGAAGTCATTCAGAGTGGGGAGAAGACAGTGAAGTAAAATGATCTATTGTGTTTTTATAAGATATCTTGGTTGTTATGCTGAAAACAAACTGTAGAAAATGGGGTGTGGCGGGGCAGGGGTTGAAATACAGTAAGGAAGCGACAAGAGCTGATGGTGGTGTGAAAGCAGGGCTGGAATCCCACATGAGTGATAATCCAATTCTAGCTCTATTACAGTAACCAAAGGTGACCTGGTTTTCTAAGGACGAATCAGATGGGGGAGGTGAGAGAAAGAGAGGGTGTAAGAATGATTGTAAGGTTTTCCCTCAGAGAACTGAAAGTGTGGAGTGTTCTAGAGTGTTCTAACATTCAAAGAAGTTAAGAAGAAATCAGCGAAGAACACTGGAAAGAGTTGCCTTACAAGGAAAAAGAAGCCCAGGGGAGGAAAGTGTTCCAGAGCCATAAAAAGAAAATGTTGCTGCAGGAAAAAAATGCTTAATTGGGTTAAATGCTGCTGACAGGTAAGGAAATCATCACTGGATTTTGCAGCAGAGGGTAGGGAAAGTAGGACTACTGCTCGGCCTTAACAGCTGACTTGAGGTCAGTGCTGAGCAACTGAGATGGCATCAGTCAGAGGGTTGTGGGTTTTACTGTATTACTAAGCAGTTGGAGAACAGAAAGGGGAACAGGATTTCAGGGGTACGTAAAGGTAGGCTTATCCCTGAGCAGAGAATGGAAAGGAAGATGTAAGGGTAACGGTGAAATGGTGATTTGCAGGGGATGGAGAATTGTATGGATGGTGGAACTGAGGGACCGTTGGAACTAAGGCACAGGAGAGTTCACTAGAAAATTACTGGCAGGAGATTACAGAGGGTTTGCTTGAGACTGAGTTTTACTAGTGTAATTGTGAGATGTATCTTGACACCATCAAACAGAGAACATAAGGCAGTGTAGACATGGAACCTTCTCCAAAATAGATCATATCCTAGGGCACAAAGCAAGTCTCAGCAAATATAAGAAAATAGAAATTATACCATGCATTCTATCTGATCACAATGCAGTAAAAGTAGAACTCAACAACAAAAGTAAAGACAAAAAACATGCAAATAGCTGGAAACTGAATAACTCATTACTTAATGAAGAATGGATCATCGATGCAATAAAAGAGGAAATTAAAAAGTTCCTAGAAGTCAATGAAAATGAAAACACAACCTACCGGAACCTATGGGACACAGCTAAGGCAGTCTTGAGAGGAAAGTTTATAGCCATGAGTGCATATATTAAAAAGATTGAAAGATCCCAAATCAATGACCTAATGATACATCTCAAACTCCTAGAAAAACAAGAACAAGCAAATCCCAAAACAAATAGAAGGAGAGAAATAATAAAAATAAGAGCTGAAATCAACGAAATAGAAACCAAAAAGACCATACAAAGAATTAATGAAACAAAAAGTTGGTTCTTTGAAAAAATAAACAAGATTGATAGACCCCTGGCAAACTGACTAAAATGAGGAGAGAAAAAACCCAAATTAGTAGAATTAGGAATGCAAAAGGGGAGATAACAACAAACACCATGGAAGTCCAGGAAATCATCAGAGACTACTTTGAGAAACCTATATTCAAATAAATTTGAAAATCTAAAAGAAATGGACAGATTTCTAGATACATATGATCATCCAAAACTGAACCAAGAGGAAATTAATCACCTGAATAGACCTATAACACAAAATGAAATTGAAGCAGCAATCAAGAGTCTCCCCAAAAAGAAAAGTCCAGGACCTGATGGATTCTCTGCTGAATTCTATCAGACCTTTAAAGAAGAACTGATACCAACCCTCCTTAAACTGTTCCACAAAATAGAAAGGGAAGGAAAACTGCCTAACACATTTTATGAAGCCAGTATTACACTTATCCCAAAACCAGGCAAAGACACCTCCAAAAAGGAGAACTATAGGCCAATCTCCTTAATGAACATTGATGCAAAAATCCTCAACAAAATAATGGCAAACCGAATTCAGCAACACATCAAAAAGATTATTCACCACGACCAGGTAGGCTTCATCCCAGGGATGCAGGGGTGGTTCAACATACGAAAATCAATAAACGTAATAAACCACATTAACAGAAGCAAAGACAAAAACCACTTGATCATCTCAATAGATGCAGAAAAAGCCTTTGATAAGATCCAACATCATTTCATGATAAAAGCTCTAAGAAAACTAGGAATAGAAGGAAAGTACCTCAACATTATAAAAGCTATATATGACAAACCTACAGCCAGCATTATACTTAACGGAGAAAAACTAAAACCATTCCCTCTAAAATCAGGAACCAGACAAGGATGCCCACTATCTCCACTCCTATTCAACATAGTACTGGAATTCCTAGCCAGAGCAATTAGGCAAGAAGAAGGAATAAAAGGAATACAAATAGGTAAAGAAACTGTCAAAATATCCCTATTTGCAGACGACATGATCCTATACCTTAAAGACCCAAAAAACTCTACTCAGAAGCTTCTAGACATCATCAATAGCTATAGCAAGGTAGCAGGATATAAAATCAACATAGAAAAATCATTAGCATTTCTATACACTAACAATGAGCAAACTGAAAAGAATGTATGAAAACAATTCCATTTACAATAGCCTCAAAAAAAATCAAATACCTAGGTGTAAACCTAACAAAAGATGTGAAAGACCTCTACAAGGAAAACTATACACTTCTGAAGAAAGAGATTGAGGAAGACTATAGAAAGTGGAGAGATCTCCCATGCTCATGGATTGGTAGAATCAACATAGTAAAAATGTCTGTATACATGTTTAATGCAATTCCCATCAAAATTCCAATGACATTCATTAAAGAGATTGAAAAATCTACTGTAAATTTATATGGAAACACAAGAGGCCACGAATAGCCAAGGCAATACTCAGTCAAAAGAACAATGCAGGAGGTATCACAATACCTGACTTCAAACTATATTACAAAGCAATAACAATAAAAACAGCATGGTACTGGCACAAAAACAGACATGAAGACCAGTGGAACAGAATAGAGGACCAGATATGAAGCCACACAACTATAACAACTTATCTTTGACAAAGGAGCTAAAAATATACGATGGAGAAATAGCAGCCTCTTCAACAAAAACTGCTGGGAAAACTGGTTAGCAGTCTGCAAAAAACTGAAACTAGATCCATGTATATCACCCTATACCAAGATTAACTCAAAATGGATCAAGGATCTTAATATCAGACCCCAAACTCTAAGTTGATACAGGAAAGAGTAGGAAATACTCTGGAGTTAGTAGGTATAGGTAAGAACTTTCTCAATGAAACCCCAGCAGCACAGCAACTAAGAGATAGCATAGATAAATGGGACCTCATAAAACTAAAAAGCTTCTGTTCATCAAAAGAAATGGTCTCTAAACTGAAGAGAACACCCACAGAGTGGGAGAAAATATTTGCCACTATACATCAGACAAAGGACTGATAACCAGAATATATAGGGAACTTAAAAAACTAAATTCTCCCAAAACTAATGAACCAATAAAGAAATGGGCAATGAACTAAACAGAACTTTCTCAAAAGAAGAAATTCAAATGGCCAAAAAACACATGAAAAAATGCTCACCATCTCTAGCAATAAAGGAAATGCAAATTAAAACCACACTAAGATTCCACCTCACCCCTGTTAGAATAGCCATCATCAGCAACACCACCAACAACAGGTGTTGGCGAGGATGCGGGGAAAAAGGAACCCTCTTACACTGTTGGTGGGAATGTAGACTAGTACAACCACTCTGGAAAAAAATTTGGAGGCTACTTAAAAAGCTACATCGATCTACCATTTGATCCAGCAATACCACTCTTGGGGATATACCCAAAAGACTGTTACTCCAGAGGCACCTGCACACCATGTTTATTGCGGCACTATTCACAATAGCCAAGTTATGGAAACAGCCAAGATGCCCACACTGACAATGGATTAAGAAAATGTGGTATCTATACACAATGGAATTTTATGCAGCCATGAAGAAGAACGAAATGTTATCATTCTGGTAAATGGATGGAATTGGAGAACATCATTCTGAGTGAGGTTAGCCTGGCCCAAAAGACCAAAAATCGTATGTTCTCCCTCATATGTGGACATTAGATCAAGGGCAAACACAACAAGGGGATTGGACTTGAGCACATGATAAAAGCGAGAGCACACAAGGGAGGGGTGAGGATAGGTAAGACACTAAAAAACTAGCTAGCATTTGTTGCCCTTAACGCAGAGAAACTAAAGCAGATACCTTAAAGCAACTGAGGCCAATAGGAAAAGGGGACCAGGAACTAGAGAAAAGGTTAGATCAAAAAGAATTAACCTAGAAGGTAACACCCACGCACAGGAAATCAATGTGAGTCAATGCCCTGTATAGCTATCCTTATCTCAACCAGCAAAACCCCTTGTTCCTTCCTATTATTGCTTATACTCTCTCTACAACAAAATTAGAAATAAGGGCAAAATAGTTTCTGCTGGGTATTGGGGGGGGGAGAGGGAGGGGGTGGGGGCAGGGGGGAGAAATGAACCAAGCCTTGTATGCACATATGAATAATAAAAGAAAAATGAAAAAAAAATAAATAAAGCTGCTCAAAGTTCAAAAAAAAAAAATTGAGAAACTGAGACTCAGGAGGTTCACCAATGTGCATTTTTAAATCACCAAAACAGGGTGACATGAGCAATACTGGGAAGAATGCCGAATGTGACGTGAAAGGCATTAGCGTTAATCTGGGGTGAGAAGGCCCTCTTCACAGACACACCCATGGGAAACAAATATTATCTTGTTGTTTACTCTTTTTATTGTTGTGCTAGGTGAGGGTACACTGTAGCATTTACAAAAATTCTTACATTGTATCAAATATATCACACTTGAATTTACCTCTTCCAGTGCTCCCCTTTAGTCCTCCCCTCCCCTGCCTCGTTGTTAACTGTGTGATTATATGGTATAATACTCTGTTCTGCAAAAATTTTTACAACTTGACTTTTCACCACTGACAAAAGACTTTCTTTTGATGATAAAACAACCATTTATAATAGTCGTTAACACTGAGTTCAAATCAAACATGAAAAATACCCTTAAAATGTGTTTACCTTGAAGCTTTCTGCTAAGTTCAAGCTTTTCCTGTTCGAGACGCTTAATTCTTCTTTCATAAGCTTCAGTTGCTAGGCTGTTATCTAGTGTTCTCTGGACATTAACATCGAGATCCAGAGAGGTGGGGCCAGCTGTGACTCTTAAACAGCTCCGATCAGACAGAACACTGAAGAAAAGGAAGAAAAACAGATGCAGGTTCACACAGTAAAAAGTCTAAAGAAAAAGGAGTCTTTACTTCCATTTCCTGCGTGGTGAGTGGGAGATGCTTCTTCCTCCCCCATTTTTCCTTACTTTATCCTGCTTTACTAAAATAAATCTTTGCTAAAACTTAAAAAAAAAGTTTAGAGATAAAAAGATAACCTTTTAAAATTCTTCATATGAAACATTTGAATATGTACAGTAAATCATCTAGAATGATTGCAAAAACATTTTTTGCACAATTAGCATAAGCTACTTTTAGAAGTTTTTAAGTGAAAACTTAAATCCCTGAAATAATCTTGAATTAAAAAAATTAAGCAACCACAAAACATAAAATAAAGTTTGCTAAAGAACTGTGAGTAGTTTAAAACAATCTGACCATCTAAGTAAAATGCTAGTCATAACCACCAACCATGGTGCTATTTAACAAATCTGAAATTCAAATTTTGAAAGTGAGGTGGTTTCCTTAATTCCAGTGAAAGGGACAGAAATGCACAAGCTATGTAAGTAAAATACTCAGTACATTAGAAAGTCTCAACTGCTAAAGAGAAAACATGAAGCAGGAAAACAAGCAATGATGTCTTACGGGGGAAACGAGAAAAACTTAGGCCAAGTTGAGAAAGCTGTCCTTAGGAAACAAGAAACTGAGAAAAACCAAGGAAATAGGAGGAGGAAGAGCATTGCAAGCAGATGGAACAGAAGCACAAGAGACGAGGCTCTTGGGCCAGAAAAGAGGCCTGTGGATGGAATGAGTGAGATAAGGGGAAGAGCAGGAGGAGATAGAAAGCTAAAAGGGAGTCTCTGTACAGGCCCTTGTAAGAACTTGGGTTTGGGGTTAAGACAAAAAGTCAATGAGGCTGAAGAGTGGAGGAGGTCAGCCCTGGCTACCTTTCAACAGGATAACTTGGGCAGATTCAGAGAAATAATAAAAAGTAAATTATGAACATGTCATGTTGGTGGTTAACACAGATTCTGAGGAGAAGAGAGGAGATAGCCTCTGATACAGATGTACACTTAAGACGTCATTAGCACATATCAAGAGAAAAGCAGAGAGTACACATGGAAGCAAGGAGTTAAAGATGGTGCTGTCAACATCCGAACCTCAGTAACTAGGGGATGAGGAATCAGGTATGGAGACTGAGAGTGCTCAGAAAGGAATAAAGAAAACCAGGTGAGTGCCCTGGAAGCTACAAGAAGTGGGGAGCTGTGGCAAAGACAACAAGACTAGCAAGTGAGAATAGGACTGAGAAGTGACCTTCAGAGTTAGCATTATGGGGGTCAACAGTAACCCCTTTTGTTTATGTGATGTGATGGGGACATAAACATGAAGGGAGTGGACTTAAGGAAGAACAGTATGAGAAAAAACACAGTCCAGAGAAGTAATTTTGCTATAATGCAGAACAGAGAACTGGTGATAACAATAAAAGAAGTGCTATCTGTGAGCAGGTGGCAAGGAGTTGCTGATGCAGAAATGTAAAACTTGCTGGAAAAGTGAGCTGTTTGCATTGTTGGCAAACAAGACTGCCAGCTGAATGTGAGGATGGCCAAGGTCTCAGAGGCAAACAGAAAGTATGGAATGGTTCTGTAGGTGGGTGGAGGATAGAACGGGAGGCAGAAGCAGTCACAAAGCCACTTCAGGTTGGTGACTATGAATTTAAAGTAAGGCCAGAAGAATGGCCAGTTTTCTCCAGCCACTGTGAACTACATAGGTATAGACAGCTAAATTTTAACAATGAACATTATTTTACCAAAGAACATACAACAGAATGAGAACTAGTCAAGGGAACTGAGGTGGCAATGGGGAGTGGCAACGATTCTCAGGGAATTCAAACTGGGTGCAGCAGAGGAGAGGACACAGGGAGAGAAGATGAAGGGTGATCAGACCAATGGCTCAAAGTCTGACGTTGACCCTGATCCACTCCCACAGTGCTTCCCGGTTCCTGCCCCACTGCAGATGGATAGATTCTGAGCTTTCTGTTTTTCCTCTTCTTCCCTCCAAAATAAGTTAAGATTCTGAGTAATCTGTTCCTTTTGCAATGAACAGATAATACTGTACTGTTTCCACCAGCAGATTAATCTTGCTTTTTAAAATTTAAGTCTCTCTCATGTATTGTTTTTAAAGCCTCAGTTCACTTTAACTTGCTATATATAACTTGTCCAGATTATATTGACTTGTGAAACTTACCAGCTACTTGTGTATGTAAAACCAACAAATGGTAGATGGTGGCCAGAAAACGCAGTATGTGTTGGTGGGGGCATTGTTTCCTAAAGAAAAACAAACAGCAATCTGGTAAGAAGTAGCAATGGTGTGCAGGTTGAGTTATAAGTAATGACTGTCAATAGACTGTTCGGTTTAGGAGCACCGCTAAGTTTAGCAGAGATATTTAGTGATATATATAACTTAGATCATGAACATGGCTACTATAAAATCTAATAAATAAAAACTGACTGAAAGCCTGATTGATAGTGATATTAATTACTAGTCACGTATTTTGTGTTTATAAATTTGTCTAGAAGCTACATTCTTGTGACTCACTCCTCACTGAGGTTGAATAGGAAACACTCACTTTTCCTTTCAGCTCTCATACAACAAGCACTCTCTTACTTTTTACAGAGCATTGATTTCTTTTCATTTGTTTTTGTTGTTGTTGTTTTGAGACAGGATCTCACTAGGTATCCCAGGCTGGCCTAGAACTCACTATGCAGCTCAGGTTGGCCTCAAACTCATGATCACCCTGCCTCAGCCTACTGAGTGCTGGGGCTGGAGATATGCACCACCACACCCAGCTGCTGTCTACTGTCTCTAAGTGAGGAAGCGATACTGTGCTTTTACAGAGAAAATAACACGTATTGGGTAAGCTTCATTCAGTGCTGTTCAATGTGAGTTCAGTGTAATCAACAGTATATACAACACATGGCCATCCTGAAACAGAAGCACACAAAAAAGGGCTTTTCACTGAACACTGATGAAACATTGCGGGGAAAGGCTCTAGGAATCTTACCTTGTATTTCCTCAGAGCAGTGGGTCAATGTTAGCTAGCAGTATTCACCATGACTTTAAATAATTAAAATCAACTGTACTGTGCATTTTAATTTAGAATGACTCACAATCTGTTAAGAATAAATATAATTCTAACAAAAAAGTGGTCCATCTAATTCTTTCTTGTGAAGTTTAAAAAATGTAAGTGAAGCTCTTATCTGCCTTGAATATAATACTGAACAGCAAAGTGATATAAATTAATATAAAAATTTAGCAAAGAAGTAAAATCGTAGTAAATAAAACAACTGAATAAAATAAAAGCTCAAATTCAGATGGGTAAAAAAGGCAAAACACATAAAAATTTTATGTTCTGATTTTCCTCAATTTTAACTTAACCTACACCCAATGGTTTGCAGCACAGGTCAGCACACTATGCTGGCCTCACTTAGTACAGCCCACAAACTAAGAGTGGCTAAATCCACTTGCTGTGCTACTGCCTCAATGGGGGCTGCAGCCTCAGGCAAGGGGCTTCGGGCTGACTTTCCTGATCGTCTCCTACCAAGTCTGCTGCTTAGCAGCATCACCCCTGCTGTGGGCATTTATCCCTCCAGATGAAGTCTGCCCCTCTAGCATAAAAAGCACTGAGTATTTTTGCTTTGCTTTCGTTTGGATTTTTGGCAGTACAGGGGTCTGAACTCAGGGCTTTGTACTGGCTAGGCAGGTGCTTTCCCACTTGAACAAGGCCTCCAGCCTCAAAGTGCTGATTTTTACATCCAGCTCCATGCTGTGACAATTATCACAACCAAGCTGGTGATGGAGGTGGGTATGATTTTAACCAAAATTCACTAGTCTTCCATGAACAAAACTTCTCAATCTGTTTCCATTTGGTTGATATATTAAGCCCTGAGTTGGTTGCTCTTGACAAACTTTCCTCTTTCATAGTTGGTTTTAGAGAGAGGTTTGCCAGCCCTTGCCTTGGCACTCATGATGCTCGTAAGCATCTCAGCTGTCCTTTTCTTAGAAAATCCAATAGCGTCACTTATCTACAAAGCAGATCTTTGAATTTTCTCTTGGTCATGGATACTATGTTGACCTCAGTTAACTCTCTTGATTTCTTCAATAACTGATAAAGTGGTCCTAGCACAATACTTGTAAGCCAAAACATTACGTTACAATCATATTTAAAAGGATCAGAGGGACAGAACTTCTTCATAATGTCATACTTACAGAATTTTTTAAACAGTCATCATCCACATCAAAATTTGATGTATCTGTTGGGCTACTAACTTCTGGAATATAAGGTGCTTCACAGTTTTGAATATTATCCCAATCAATCCCACTGAAAAATGGGTGTTTCTTAAAGTCTTCTATTCCATTCTGACCAAGTCGATGTTCTCTGCTACAAATAAGTCTTCGAATAAGATCCTTAGCATTTTCAGACACATCATCACTTGAGCTGGAAACTGAAACCTCTCCTATACAGAAAATAACACAAAGTATAAATATAAATCAATATCCAGCTTACAAATTAGGGCATTTGACTCATTTTCTTAAAAATATTTTGTCTTTTAGCTGGGCATGATGGTTCATTCTTGTAGTCTCAGCTACTCCAGAGGCAGAGATAAAAGGATTACCATCCAAGGTTGGCCCAGGTAAAAGTACAAGACCCTTCCTGAAATACATACTAAAAACAAAAGGACTAAAAACGAAAGGACTGGGTCGTAGCCTAAGTGGTAGGGTGCTTGCCGAGCAAGAACGAGAGCAAGTGTGAGGCCCTGAGTTCAGTCTCCATTACTGCCCTCCACATGTATGTATTTCCTTTTAAAAGTATCTAAGTGTATACAGCTGCACGGTACTGATACTAGAGGAGATGCATGGATGAGTGAGAAAAGATCATTTTCCTAAAAAACTTTAAATTCCATGTGACTTAGTTAACAGATGCACTACAGAAAAAATAAATCAAATGCTATAACACCTTAAACTGCTACTATAGAGACAGTGATCAAATTAATTGAACTTGACTCAATATTTCAATAGAATGCAGGTGACCCACAATGTTCACAGTCAATAAAAGCTACTGATTAGCTGATACTCAGCAGTCTCAAGAAATTTAGCAGGTCTGATTCCTACTGATGCTGTTCAATGACTTAACTGCTTTAACTCATTCAATCCTCTCAACAATCATCTTAAATAGGTATTAGTATTATGGCAATCTTACAGAAGAGAAAACTAAGGCACGAGAGTTCAAGTAACTTTTTCAACATCACACAGCCAGTAAAGAACAGAAATGGACCTTGAACTCGGCTCTCAGTCCAGAACTTATGCTGAGAGGAAGCTGTCCTGCAGGGATTTCTTTCTGGGGCGGTGTGCATGCTATTCACAGCCATGCAGCTGTTCCAGTCTTTCATCTCTTCTCAAATACTTACAGCATTAGCTCTATAAAACTGATGGATATATTTGCAAAGCAACTATCAGCATCTCCAGAATGGACTAAGAGTGATTACAACTCCCCTTCTGGGGTGTCCACACTCGTGCAGGGCATCTTAAAGGGCTCACCCTCCTCTGAAAATGAGCAGTTAGAACTTTCCTCTTCTGCTTACTTAGTATAATGTGCATTCAAGTTCTATAACTTGTTCCTGCTATGCATCTGGGTTCTTTCCAGTGTCTCAGGGTCATCTTTGTTCTCCTGAATATTTTCATTGGGTAGATTCCTAGACCTGAAGTTATTCAGTCAAAAGCTCTAAACCATTTTTTAGAGCTTGAGGTGGATACCTCTACACATCCCAACAGAAAAGTCACAGTAATCAATTTACATTCCCATCCACAGCTTGTCAGAGTGCCCATCACACTGTACCATTTATAGTACATAGCACTATTTTTTCTTATATCTTGGCCAATTTGACAAGAAAAAAGCACCTCATTTTCACTTGCATTTCATTTCTTACTACGCAGGTTGAGAGCTTTCTATGCGCGCTATTCACGATTACCTGTACTGTACAGACTTTTAACCTGCCACTTACTAGCATCTCTAACCTGCCAATTACTAGCATCTCTAAATAAAACACAGGATAAAAAAGTTACAACAATTTTCATTTCATGCAGAATTTACAAATTGTGATTATTCATGTCTGTTTCCCACTAACAAAGAAATGTGATTTCCTAATATTTTAGAAAAATGTTTTCTCTTTAATAGCAATTCATTTATCATATGTAATATTTACCACAACAATGTGAAAAGTTAAATACACTAACTTTGTGATTCATGATTTTCCCGTATGTCTCCACAAGAGATTCAGCATAGAATGGTGTCTCTCCATAAAGCATTTCATACATACAGACCCCCAAAGACCACCAGTCACACTCAGGTCCGTATCTGCCTTTTCCATCTTCCATAGCTTGAAGGATCTCAGGAGAAATATAATCTGGGGTCCCAACTGCCACTGAGGACTGGACCTGAAGAAGTTCACATTTTCATTAATCTACCATGATGTCTTAAATAAAACGGTTTTATATTAAAAACAGTTATGCTTCCTGAGACATAAAACAGGCAATATTATCTCATAGCTATGACATCCTTGCCATATCTGAGCCTAGTGTCTTGCCATGTATGTATGATTTAATACAATCTCTATATTGATAGTTTTTCAGATTTTGTAACACTATTCAATCTTTATTACAACTGTTATTTAATTGGCTACATTTAGGGGAATAATATGATTTGAATCTCATAGCCATTAAAAGCAAACTGAATATTTGGTTTATATTATTATTGTTATTGATTTGTTAAGTATTTTCTCTCTCTAACCAGTACATACACAGAATTTAAAAATTTATGATTAGGAGGAAGAACAGCTCAGAAATTTAGGTTAATACTATAAATTATCAGGAGTGGTGTCTCATGCTTATAGTCCTATGTACTTGGGAAGCAGTGATCAGGAGGATCACAATTTGAGCCCAGCCCCGACAAAAAGTTCACAAGACTCTCCCATCTCCCATCTCAACCAATAAAAAGCTTGGCGCAGCAGTGCACACCTGTTATTCCAGCTAGGAAGGAAAGATAAATAGGAAGATTGTTGTCCAGGCATACATGTGAGACCCCACTGGAAAAAATACTTAAAGCACAAAGAGCTATGGGTGTGACTCAAGTGTAGAGTGCCTGCCCAGAAAACACAATGCCCTGAGTTCACCCAGCATTGTGGGCGGGGGTTGAAGGAAAAATAGAGGCCAACTATGTACTGTTATAACATATTTATTATTAAAAAAAATAGAAAAAGTACACTCTTCAAAAATTAAAGTCCAGATAGAAAAAAAATAAGTCAAGGATATAATTACAGCAAATTAAATATAAATCAGAAAACAGACAATAAAAAAGAACCTGGGAACATATAGTCCAAGGTCCCTTGAAGTAAAAATTAAGTGTGTATGTGTGTATGTGTGTGTATAGTTTCTATGTTTTTAAAAAACATATCAAGAAATGAACATTTTTGTGCTGGGGGTGTGGCTCAAGTGTGGTATAGCACCTACCTAGCAAGTGGGGGACCATGAATTCAAACCCAAGTACAAAAAACTCAAAACATTCTCAGGGTAGAATGATACTTAACTATTCTTGATTTTCTATAATAAATTACTATTCTTAATAATTAGGACAGCTTTCCACTTTGTCAATTCTGTGATTATGTACTTGTAAACTCTTCTGTTACAAACACTTAAAAATACAACATTTATATAAACATAACAAAGAATTCTTTTTAAAAAGAGACATTCTGAGGAATCAGTAATCAATAAATGGTTGATACCTACAATGATAAGACACTTCTGATTTTCATTTTCTAGGCACTTACATTTTAAAATACAGAGGGAACAAAAGGAAAGTCCTTGGGCTTATATGAGGTGGGAAATTTGAGGAGAGACTGCTCTATTTTAACCTTGATGGATTTCTAAAAATCTGCCACAGAGCCAAGAGAGATAACAAGACACTTTACTTATCTTGACCTGATGTGTGAAAAGAAAATCTCCTGTAAAAATCAAAACTCTAGGTCACAAGATCCCAACGTTTGGGAGTTTAATCCACACAGTTTCTATGGTCACATATTCTCAAGCCAAGACTCTGGCATCAATATTGGCCAGGGTGGGCAATTTGTTTGCTTCTAGGAAACAAAACAAATTCAAAACTACACTGAAGGACATGTGCTCAAACGTGGCCAGATAAAATTCTCACACATCAAAACCTCATTGAAAATGAGCTCACAACTCAATAATACAAACTAAGTGAAGAAACTATCCATTATGATTAACAGTCAGAAATCCAACAATTAGTACAATTAGATCCTTAATAACTGTAAGATCTATCTTTCAAAGATGTATGTTTAAAACTACTAACAATGTAAAAAGTTTTAACCACAAGAGAAATCTAAAAAATCAAACAGAAGTTGTAGAGTATAAAACAGTGGTGGCAGTTTTCAAAATGCAGTGATGCAGACACTGGAAAGAGCAAGAAGCAGTTAGTCTGGAGAGATGAGTGTGAGTGACCAGGCACAGGATGAAGGCACAGAGTAGAGAGGAGAGGTGCGTCAGGTATGGACCAAGCAAAGGAGACTTAAGGTGGCTACAGAAGTGTCAGCTATGGTTAGAATCATTACTGATGCTTTTTAAAATCCATTAGCATAATTGTAAAAGAAACCGCCCTAGAACAACAAATAGCAATGCTGAGTAATAGATATGAACAACCTGCCACACAAGTGCTGTGTGCAATGCTATTGAGTATATAGGTAAATTAGTAACCCTACCATCACAATAAAGATTTTTAAATAATGGATGATAGATCGGATGAGAATACAAAAATCTGAACAGCAAAACTAATTTTAGTTTTACTTAGCTAAGTTAACATAACAGACACCTGCTCCTTATACAGAGAGTAACACAATGAATTCCATGAACAACATGATAGGTCGTCCTAGGATTAAGAGCCCTTCAGTGGGCCATAAAACCAACCGTGCAAATTAGAAAGAAGATAAACTCCAGGACCTGTGTCTTCAAGGAAACTCAGAAGGATGAGCTAAGCCATTTAGTGTATCTGCGAAATTGCTAGATCATTTAACATGTGGGGATAAAACAGAGTTACACACAAAAGTAAGCAACATATAATGGTCACTGAAGTCAGAGGAGATAAAACATGGAAGCAAAGAAAAGAGATGTCATTGCAGGGCATAGCTATGACCACTGGCATCATAAAAAATACTGAAGTGGACTTAATGATGGATTGTGTGCTGATTGCATTGGGAGGACAGAGGAATTGTACTGGCTGGGCAAGACGGGGCTAAGAGACCTGAATCCTCATTTCCATGAAGGAAACTAATAGAATCTAAAACTAAACATTCAAGATGGACCAGCAAAAATATGGTAAGAAATACATAAATCAAAGAAATGCCAAAACAGAGGAGCAAAGGTTTGTGAACATCTTCTTCTAGGGAAAAAGACTTGGAGGGGAGAAGAATTTGGGCAAAAAAAAATGTTAGTTTCTTGTTACATAACTTCTTTAAATATGTAGGTGTCACTTCAATAAGAGTCAAATTTAAGTAAAACAAATGAAAAGGCTTCTTCACTATGATTTTTCATGGAGATCCAACATGCTGGCTTACCCAAGAAAACTGTTTTGAGATTATCACGGGAAACAAAATACTACCCTACTGCAAAACAAAACAAGAATTAATGACTGGGAAGACACCAGTCCTTCAGCAATAAATCTGAGCAGGGAAACTCATAAAGACTGAGCTAGGACTCACTGCATTCTGGAATGCAAAGGGAATAAAATTCGTACATACAAACTTCCAAGTAAATGAAAGAAAATGCTGAGCAGACCAGCAGAGGTTAAGCAAACAGAAACAGAAAATTAAGGTGACCCAGAATGCTTTCTGAAAAAAAGAATTCACTTGCTGAACACTGTCCCTCAGAATAACTGTAATTAAGAAACAGAAAAATGAAATACAAGTGAGGACAGAGTTACATTTTCTTTTTCCATGAGCCTTTCACGTCCAGTACAGCAATAAATAGTTACCAGTTAAAGAAGGAGCAAACAAGGATCTTATAAAACATCGTTCCCAAGATCACTAATATATGCAGATGAAATGATTTATGACTTTATAGACAAGCCCTATTATGAATAAGTATCCCCAAATGTCTTTCAGAAAGGAGGCTGAGCATGGACAAATGGATAGCTAGATGGACAGACAGTATAAATACATGGTTTCTAAAACACAGAAAGAAGACATACAGCAAGGGAAATATTTGTGGGTAAAATAACTTAGGATTTATCTTTATTTACCGTTCCATCTTCCATCAGCTTCAGACAAGAACCAAAATCGGCTAAACGAATGTGTCCATTCATATCCATCAGTATATTGTCAGGTTTAATGTCTCTGAAAAATAAAGACATTCAATTTTTAGTTGGAAAAATAAACATAATCAGTTGCTTAGTAAGATAACCTTCTTCACCTGAAAATCTCAAACATCTTTTATGTGTTCAAATCCTAGCTCTGACTAACATTAAAACTGTCTTATACACATAATTTCAGTATTCTTCTGGAGAAAAGAAGTGCTTTGGTAATTTTCATTCTGGAAAGGAAATTTTGAGGAGTAATGAAAACATTTTTGATTAGCTAATGGTTACGTAGGTATGCTGGTGCACTGCCGAAACTCATTGCTGTATACAGAGCACCTGTGCCCTTTGTCATGTGTACTTCAATCTTAGAACACAGGGAGGAAGAAAGTACCGTCTGAACTGAAGACACTGGAGTCTGAGGGAGAGATTTTCATTACGGATTTCATCTCTTTAAACATGCTTAGTTTGCTGAAATAGTTTCTATTTCTTCTACAGTATATTACAGCGTTTTTATCTTTCTAACAGAGTGATTTTCTCCACGATTTCATTAGAATACAGTTGTCCATAGCATCAGAGCTGATTAAATCTGCTACGTATTCATTGTTGCTGTCTGACGTTACTTCTTTGTATCTTTCCTGTTTTGTACCTGTTTTCCCAGGTAGGTGCTGAGCGAGGGCTGTAATATTCACAACTGTTCAAGGCAGGTCCACTCACGTGCCCACTTAGAGAGGAAGCTATGCCACCCAGAGTGAACACTCAAGGCAGGCAGGACTCAGACCCGGCAATGTGGCTACAGACCCGTATTCTTAACTGTGACCATTTTAGCTAGATATTTGTATCTTTGGGGACTATTTCAAAATAATTATTGTTGTGTTTGATTTCATCACCTTTTGCTTCTTTTCATCCTTCTCTGTAATTCAGGTTAATTTTGCTGTTCTTTCCCAGCTTCCTGAGTTGGAAGCTTAATTTGTTTTTGAAAAAACAAATCTTTCCTTTTTCAATATTTTCATTTAGTGTTAGAGATTTTCTTTTACTGCAGCAGTTTCTGTAGCTGCGTCCCACAAGTTCTGATACGTAAACTTTTATTTTTATCTTCATTCTAAATGTTTTCTACTTTACACTGTGATCCTCCCTATAACCTATTTTTGTCACAAAGAACGTATTTCAGAGCCAGGCCTGGCAGTGCATGCCTGCAATCTCAGCTTTGGAGACAGAGGCAGAAGGAGCCAGAGGTCAGGCTACATAGAATGGCCCTGTCTCAAAAAGCAGAGCAAAACAAAACAGATACATTTAAAAATTTTTTAAATCTATGGATTACTTTTAATTCTACTTTGACTTATTGTTTATTTGTATAAGTAACATATTTTACTTTTCAAAATAAAATTTTAAAGCATAAATTGAAAAAATTTTCCTCACACATGACCCCCATCCACCCATACTACACTTCCAAAAATAATGACTGTAATAAGTTTATCAGTTTCCTCTATGCATATAAAAGCAAGTATCAATTGATACAACCTTGTACTATAAATAGTACACTATGCACAGAAATCTGCAGTTCTTTCTTCACTGACAACAAACCTCTGACCTGTGTGAGGACAGAAAGGCTTCATCTGGACAGATTTAAGAGATGCTCGTGTATATCAGTGACATGGCTCAGACAACCATTCTGCTGCTGATGCCCACTGGAGTTTTCTCTAGTCTTTCCCTATTCTAAATAACATGTCACGTCCACAATGTAAGGATAGCTGTAAGACAAAATTTGAAATGTGGGGGCTGGCAGAGTGGCTCAAGTGATAGATGTCTGAGCATGAGGCCCTGAGTTCAAACCCCAGTACTGCTCCCATCTGCAAGAATAACAAAAACAAAAAAACCCTTATTTAAAAAAAATTCTAAATGTGGAATTTTTAGTAAAAAAAAAAACATGTGTTTGACATTTAATAGATATACACAAAATGGCTTTGCAGTCTTGGAGTCGATTTACATCCCCACAAGCTCCATGTGAGTACACCCATTAGCCTACAGCCTCAGCACAGAGTGGTTTGTCAAATATTTGTACTTGTTGCACATTTTCAGGTAGGAGGTGGTGTTATGTGTTACTAGTAAAATTGTCTTCTCATGTGCAGAAAAGCCATTTGTTTTCCTGTCCATTCTTCTTTTGGGTATGATCTTTATCTCATAGGAATCACCACCATCATCATTTGGTGGCACTGGGGTTTGAACTCAGGCCTAGGCGAGCACTCTACCACTTGAATCAACCCATCAGTCCTGTTTTGTGATGGGTATTTTCCAGATAGGGTCTTGTGAACAGTGATCTTCCTGATCTCTGCCTCCTGAGTAGGTAGGATTATAGGCATGAGTCAGGGGCACTGGGCTTAAGAATTCTTTATATGGTAAGAAGACTGCCTTTGCCCATTATATGAACTGCAAATCCTTTTCTCCCGCAGTGAATATATGCCTTTTTAGTCTTTATTTTGTTGTTGGGCCTCCCAGGTAGTCTTTTGTGTGTGTGTGTGTGTGTTGAAGTTACCAATATTTTCATTCATGATTTTGTGAACTTTAAGTCATGAAAATTCCCCTGGCTCACTTCATGGGACTTCTTAACATGTCCCAAATTGAACTTCATAAATCCTCCCAATGAGATCTCAGTCTCTTCCTAAGACACGATTCCCTGCTCTCTTGTTGGGTCCATGATCCTTCTCCTTGGAGGTGCTGCCTTTTCCTATATTTCAGGTTAGTTGGTTGCCCTGGGATCTCAGACCTCTGGTGGGTTAAAGAAAAATCATAATTTTTTTTTTGCAGTTTTCCTTTTAGTGGTTGCTCTTGGTATTACAATATGCACTGTTTTTCTTTTTCAGAGACAGGGTTACACTGTGTTGCCTACCCTGGCTATAAACTCCTGGACTCAAGGGATCCTCCTGCTTCAGCCTCCCAAAGCAGGTGGGATTAAAGGTATACACCAGCATGCCAGTTACATCCTTACTTTTCATGGTCCACTTAGAATTACTTATGAATTATGTTACCAAAAAAATGTTTTAACTGTGTGCCTCTGTACCTATCCCTCTATCTTTATGCTACAGTTGTTACAAAGATATTACCTCTTTCATGAAAATCTCACAAGGAAGTGTTATGTTTGCTCTGAACAGTCATATGTTAAAAAATAAAAAACAATTAAGAAAAAAGCAAAAATTGACAGTCTTGTGCCCATCTGGACACTAACTTTCAGTGCCTTCAGCTCTTTTCTGAAGACCCACATTCCACCTTGTGTCACTTCCCTGCAGCCTCAGAACTTCCTTTAGCACTCCTTGTGTGCAGGTCTACAAATGATATATTCTTTTTCTTTTACCTAAAAATATCTTTACTTCTCTTTCATTCTTGAGGGATATTTTTACTGGACATGGAATTCTTAGTTGACAGTGTTTTTTTGCTTTTTGGGTTTTTTTTTTTTTTTTTGAGACAAGAGTCTCATTTTATAGCCCAAGCTGGCCTCATACTTGCAATCCTCCTGCATCCCAAGTGCTGAGATTACAGGCATGCACCACTACACCTGACTTATCCTTATGTTTTTGTTTTATGGCAGTACTAAGGTTTGAACTCAGGACCTCTTGCTTGCTAGGTGCTCTGCCATAGCTTAAGCCATGCTTCCAATCCTTTCTGCTCTGGTTGTTCTGGAGATAGGGTCTTACTTCATGCTCAGGCTGGCCTGGACCACAATCTTCCTACTTTATGCTTCCCACAATCACTGGGATGACAGGTGCACCCCACCACGCCCAGGTTTTTTTCAAACATTTTTGCCGGGGCTGGACTGGAATTGTGATCCTCCCAATCTCAGCCTCCTGTGTAGGTGGGATGATATGTGCACACTACTGGCTGAGGTGGTATCTCCCACGTTCTGCCTGGGCTGACACTGCCTTCCCTCCATCTCAGCCTCCCAAGCAGGTAGGATTGCCCACACGAGCCTGACTTGAGCCTGGCCTGAGCCCACATTTTGTGATGAGAACGCTTCTCTTGATGAAAGCATGCAATTTACCGTTTGTTTCCCTGCTGCTCAGCTTTTGGCTCTCAGGAGTCCCACTCCACCAAGCCTTCCTGTGCCTTTTCTCAGACTCATTTGCCCTCGTGTCATTAAGCATCGCTAAAACACACATTTATATCTTTCATCCAATTTGGGAGATTTGGGATCATTTTCTTTCCTTGTGGATCTCAAGGAACAGGCACACAAAGCCTCTTTCTTTTGAAGGCTACTATTTTAACCCTTTTCTCTCTGGTTTCGCTTTGATAATTTCTATGCATCTATCATCAAGTATTTACTGTTATCTTCATTAGGCTTTCATGAGAAACTTTTATTTTCAGATAATTGTATTTTTCATTTCTAGCATTTTCTTTCTTTCTTTTTTCTTTTTTGTCAGTTCTGGGCATGAAACCCAGGACCGTGGGCATGCTAGGCAAACACTCTACCACTGAACTGCTTCACCAGCCCTGCATTTGTTTTCAAATCTCTATTTCTGTTGATACTTCCTGTCTTTTCATTAACTGTGAACATATTTCATCACTTTGACTTCACTGAGAATTACTACACAGCTACTGGAAAATCCTTTTTTTCTAGACTCTCCATCTGGATCATTTCAGGGATGGTCTCAGTTGATGTGATGTTCTCTTGGATGAGTGACACTTTCCTGTTTCTTCATACATTTAACTTTCATTGTATCCAGAATATAATCAATGTAAAATTGTTGAGAACCTGGATTCTTCTATTTTTCTCCAATTATTGTTTGGTTTTTGTTTGTTTGGCTGGTTGGATTTTTGCTTTATTAGCTGATTTATCATACATACACTGTAAGCTCAGCTTCTGGACCCAAGGTTCTGGTCTCATTTGATGTCCTTTGTCTTTAGTTGAGCAGTTTTCAGGCAGAGCTGTGGATACAGACTTTGGATTCTGTCTCTAGCAAACCTGGTTTCCCAGGGCTCAGCTTTCTGACCTCACACCCATGAGATTGTAGCTCGTCTACCTGCACCCATGCCACACTGCTTACCCAA